TATATATATATATATATATATATATATATATATATATATATATACACACACACACAAACCACAGTACAAATCTCCTATTTTATTTTTATACAAAGGGTGAGGAAATGCAAATTTTCATGGATAGGAGTCTTTATTTGCTGGAAACAGGGTATATTAGAGAGCTGAAACTGGCACTGCATGGAAGCGCAGAATTTGAGAGGACACAGTGTGACACTGAGGTGACATGGGCTGACACTGGGTTCTGGAGCAGTGGGATACAGTGGGATGTCCTTGGAGTCTAACATGTACCTAGTATTTACCAGAAAATCCAGAAAGGAGTGTTGAGCTTTGGTTCAGGACAGCTCCCAGGTGGTGGCCCTGTGGCTCACCTGATCAGCAGCTACTGAGCTGGAAACAACGTGCTGTAGTCAGTGGAGTACCGGGATCACAGGGACATAGGAGCGCAAGAATCTCCATGAGCACTGGGGTGCTTAGTTCACAGGGAGGCAGGAGTACAAGAGTCTGTGAAAGTTTACTAGGAGTACACAAGGCACACAAGTCTAGGAAGGCTGGAAGCTCCTTTGCAGAATCCTTTAGAGAATCCTTTACCAAGGATTCTCTAAAGGAATACATAAGGATTTGCAGGAGGAGTACAAAAGAATTTGCAAGTACAAACTTGAGGAGGGGTGGCTCAACAACTAACCAAGTGACATCTTGTTTAAATGCCAAGCAACACATGTACTAGTCCTTTAAGACAGTGCCTGACTGCAGATTGACTGTGTAGCTGGCAGCATCTGATTGGCTGCACACTGGCACCCTCATACAGGGGGAAAGGGAAAGGTGACTGTTATATACATAAAAACATAAACATAAAAACATAAACATAAAAAAAAATCTGTTTAATCAAGATAAACCATAGTGCAAGTACAATGAAGATATCAATCATGTTTAATAGCTGTGTCAAAGTTTCGTGTCCATTAGATATACACCCTTGGGATATGTATGCCAGGTTTCAATGGTATATCTGTTGAAATGAAGGTTATTTGATGTAACATTTTAGCAAACGATGAATATAATATAAAGGATAAAACTGTGCAATTACTTCTTTAAAAACACAATGAATTGTTTGCCACTTATATCGCCACAGAGTTCAGTTGACCCTCAGCGGGAAAAGCTGGCATGAAGCAGGACAGATGGTAAAGTGGTGTAAGTCTTCAGAAAAATTACCACAGCAACAGCAGACAGTAGTGGAGTCAGCCGGCTGATGGGCAGTTTAGGTGCACACAGGATCCAGGTTCTAGACAGACAGACCAAACACAGACTGCCATTGATCAAGATAACTACAAATGCAGACCAATCATTTAACAGGGAAATCCAAGGCATGGGCAGTCAGATATAGGTGCATCTGGACTAACAGAGGTTTCACTTGCCATACCAGATGGTTGACATGCCAGTATGTATAGATATATATATATATATTTATATTTATTTTTGTGATTTAATGAAGAATGTGTATGTTACATAGTTGCTAAGGTTGAATAGGGACTCAGGCCTATCCAGTTCAACCTATGTGTGTGTGATCATAACATTGATTGTGAGGAGAATTGTGGCACATCCAGTCCTTTAATGGCTGGGGGGGCTTTTTTTAAGTCCAATTAACCTCACACCAAACTAATAAAACATGACTAACTCATTTTATCTTCAAACAATATATTAAAAATAATTTCCATAAATTAACAGATCTCCATTGCCGGTCATCAGTTCATATGCATACAATAGATATACAGGTGAAACTGGAATAATTAGAATATGGTGCAAAGTTCATTTATTTCACTAATGCAACTTAAAAGGTGAAACTAATATATGAGATAGACTCATTACATGCAAAGCAAGATAATTCAAGCCGTGATTTGTCATCATTGTGATGATTATGGCTTACACCTCATGAAAACCCCAAGAACCCCAAATCCACAACCTCAAAAAAGTAGAATATTACATGCAATCAATAAAACAAGGAGTGTACATAGAACAATATCGGACCTCTGAAAAGTACAAGCATGCATATGTACTCAGTACTTGGCTTGGGCCCCTTTTGCAGTACTTACTGCAATTACTTTTGCACGATATTCTAATTATTCGAGTTTCACCTGTACATGCTTAGGCGTTTACAGTTCCAAAGAATGGATAGTGATGATGGTAAGAGCTAGTATTCCTCAACATGTTTTGTCAATGTTTGGCTTCTTCAGTAGGAGTTATAGCAGCCAATAACGTGCTAATAAGATAATATAATTCACAGAATGTACACAGCGTATGAGATCTTACATCAGACCAGCTCAATAGATTTATTGGCAGAGCAACCGGAGGACAAAAAAAACACCTGGTGGGGGAGGGCGGAGCAAACAACACACCCAGGTGAATGATTATTCTTAAGCAATATATGTACAACTAAATTGGAGCATATTCATAAATTGTGTCCAATATAACTAGGACTGAGAAGCCAATACCCATGTGAAGGTGAGCGTTATAAGGTTGAGAAAGCCAAAGAAAATCAAGGAGGATTGCCCTATAGATTAAATTACTACCGGATACAGATACTTGTACTCAACCCCAACCATCAGTGACGAGGTATGGGGTCATACCACACACCCATGTGACCACTTATATTATATAAGTTGAAAATGACTCCAATGCCCCAACCTTGTATATGTCATTATCTGAATGCTGTTCACAAACATGCAGTGAGGCAGCAGGACTCTCCTACAAATATGCCCAAGTGTAGGACTACATCTACAAGCGTGCACCTACATCTACAGATTGCACCCGGGAGGTCCAATATAGAGGAAATAACACAGCTGCATAATACAGCGCAAATTACAAAGTGTGCAATACAGATAGCTACAGAAACGCTCAAATAGTGTCACCACAGAAGAAGAGAAAAAGGAAGCAGTGCAGCAATTACTTGTGCTGGTTTCCTTCCACACTCCAAAGACATGCTGGTAGGTTATTTGGCTATTAATGTGAGATAGGGACCTTAGATTGTAAGCTCCTTGAGAGCATGGACTGATACGAATGTACAATAAGTAAATTGATGGTGCTATATAAATACCTGTAATAAATAAGTGTTGGTGTTAGATATACTTCAATCTTCTTTTTCAA